GCAACCTGACGTCCCCTGGAAAACATTGCATCCCTGGTCACCCTCAATCAACCAGTTAATTTCCCAATCCACAAACATTTCTTAAGTACTTACTATGTACTAGGCACTTAGGTGTGAGGGATGTAAAAAACATAAATTTAACAGTCCCTGCCTTCAATAAGTTTATAGTCTATAGGAAGAGAAAACATGTTCTCACAAAAAGCAAATACAAATAAATACACATATGTGAATATATCTTAATATCTCTTTATATGTCTCTATACATAAATATATATAATATATATTCTTTACATGTCTTTATAGCAAGACCATAAATCCACCAGAAAGAACTTAGAAATAGCAGAAATTCATTGCAGAGACATATAAATGACATATAAATGTTTATATATCTATATGAATACTGATATATCTACAAGAATCTATAGATAGATATCACTCTAGATATTATATATGTGTCCCCCTATGCCTTTCCATAAGCTGTCCCCATGTCTGGAATAAACTTCCTCTTTAACTTTATTTCTTAAAATTCCTAGCTTTCTTTTCGGCTCAGCTCAAGTGTGACCTCTTTCATAAAACCTCAGCTGACTGTGCCCAATTTTTAGTACTCAGATCCCTCCTCAAATTGCACCTTATTTATTTGCATAGGTGTTATGTCTCTTCCCATTCCTGAATACAATGCAGAATATAAGCTCCTTAAGGGCAAGGATTGGTCTGTTTTTGCCTTTGTATCTCCATGGCTTAGCATGGTGGCTTGTGCCAAATGGGCACATAATGTTAACTGAGTTGAGCTGAATTGCTTTAAGTCATCAGAATGGAAGCTTTTATCCCAGTCAAATTCCAGAATATTCATTCTTTTTTTCTTCCCTACATCCTATGGTGCCACCCCTTACTTTCTTTCAGAAATGATTCCACTGGGTGGTAGAAAATGGTTTTTAAGCAGTGACAGGAGAAGAATTTTTGCTGCATGGGAACTCATTCATATATATCATCTGTATTTCAATTTCTCTACTAAGCACATCTTTATTCTTCAAGGATAGGCCTCTACTGTAAACCTTTTTGTGAATCATTAAGGACAGAACCTGTTATTTAGTCATTTATAGACCAAACCTGGGAAAAGGAAAGATTTTATAATTTATGAAAGACTAAACCATATGCACATTTACTGTTAAGGGTGACTTGCATGAATATTTGTCCACTTGAGAGTTTCCTTCTTGTGGGTCTAGTCTTAGCAGCTCTGACCTAATGTGTAAATCCTGTCACAAAAGTTAAAGGTATGATACATATCACCTTCCTAGGTAACTTCTAAGAGCTGTAATATATAACAGAAAGTTTCATTGAAAGCATTAATTTCAAGGCTTAGGCTATTAACTGAGAACTATCTAAAGAATCATTGTGCACTCAGCCAATAATTATGTCAAACTATATGATAGAGAACCTGATGATTCCATGAAGCATCTTTGGGTTCCTCAAAAGAAAGTGTTAGAAATCTTTAATTTGTTACATCATCTTCTGGCCCCATTCCAGTATAACTAAATGTTTGGATTCTAGGTAGCACCCAACACAGAACACAGAGATATTTCAGAACTTCAAAAGCTTTTCTAGATAAATGGTTTTATTCTAAAAATTCAATGGAACACATCTCTCCTTTCTTTATACAGGTAGCAGGACAATGGATATAGAAAATTGCACGTACATGGCAGATCTGTTAGGATCACTTTGCTGAATTGCTTTTTTTTTCTCTTTCTTTTAAAATCTCTGTTACAAGGGATAGTGCCTTGGGTCCTGGGAAGAGAGATGCTCAGAAAAGAATATGGTATAATAACAAACAGCATCAATAAAAATTAAATTGTAAAAAAAAATCAGTGGAGTAAAAGATCTTACAAGGCCATCACCCCACCTGTCATCATCAAAAATAAAAAGCCTATTCACAACATGACTAATATGGAAATATGTTTTACATGATTACACAAATATCACTAATACCAAATTGTTTACTGTCTTAGGGAGAGGGAGGAAAAAATGTTAAAATAATCATTACATGAGATTGGGAAATATTATTAAAAATAAAAACAAAAACAAAAACAAAACTATTTTTAAAAGCCTCACTCATATTGATGGAACTGCTTTTAATGAGGCACCAGTGATATGGTTATCAAAATAAATCACA